ATGGATTCTAAGATCTACTTGCATGCATGCCTCGGGTCCTTTGAATCTGGGTGGGTTCTTGCTACCACAAACAAAAGCACACTTTAAAATTGATTTACAATACATGCATGTCATGAAAAATGAAGATCTCATCATTTACCTTGCCTCAGGTCACTAAAGCTGAACCCTCCTTTCTCTTCTTCTTCTTCTCTTTCTCCCTTTCTCTCCTTCCTTCTTTCGTTCTCTTCCTTCATTCTCTCTCCTTCTCTTTTCTTCTTGGTAGTGGAAAAATCTCTCAAGGCCGAGCCTTGAAAATTTCTTTAGTTATCTCCATTTTGTGCTTACATGGGCGAATTGCCCAAGATCACTTGCCTTTTACCTTATTTTCCTTCCTTTTCTCTTTATTCTCTCTCATGGCCGGATTGCCCAAAGTTGCATGCCTTGGTGGCTTGTTTCTTTTCTCTTTCATGTGACAAAACACAAGGCAAAATCCTTGGCAACATGTCCACCTGCCACATTACTTTTCCTATACTTTTTCATTCATTTTTTTAATTTCTTTATTCATCCCTTATTCCTATTGGACCAATTCAATCCCACTCACATTTCATGCACACATTACATCTTTTGCTCATTGGTCCAAAATCTATCCCATTTAACTTCAAATATTGTAATTCACACATAAGTCCTCTAACTTTTCCTTATTTACCGTGCGACCCTCTAAATTTTTATGCTCTATAATTTAGTCCTTCCAACACTTCTTAAATTCCAATCTCCTTCTATTTTCTCCCTTTACAGTGTACACATATAATATGAGGTTTGCACCCCCTCAACGTGCCACCATAATATTTAAATATATACTTATCCGCTCATACTCTATTTAATAAAGGCATGCGGGTACCACTAATGTCATTTTTCTATTGAATTTCTTTCTTACTTCTTCTCCCCCACATAGATTAGTCATATAATCCTCTTCCATGGCTAATCTCAACAATAATTAAAATATTATTATTTTATTATTATTTTATTATTAAAATATTAAAAAATATTATTTTATTTCAAAATGTTCTTTTTGCTCACTACCTTTCCTTGGTACTTAAATTTTTGTTAATTGACCCTTCGTCTTATCGATTAGGTCTTATTAACTTCTATTCGCAAATACGGGGTATTACATAGTCAATTTACATTCGTAAAAGAATATATAGTTTAATTATCTAGAATCTTAACCAAGGCTTGTTCGGGATTTCAACGGGTTCACTCACAAGTCTCGAACACCGGTAATGACCAAGGAGCGATCATTACAGTTGTTTTAATTTTTTTGTTTATTTACTTTAATTTGGCTATTATTTATTAATTTTTATGGTTTTATAGGATTTAAGAGAATAAGGCTTAATTTAGGAAAGAAAGGTGTTTGAAGGACCCAAAATAATGCTCGTACATATTTCACTATTTTAATCATAACTCTCACTCCAAAGATCTAAATGATGTGATTCTTAAGCCATTAGAAAGCTAAGAGATAGAGCTACGACTTTGATGAAGACTACTTTGCCCATTGCTACATTGAATATAGAGAAAATCATGTTGGAAAATGATTGAGTCTAATACTATGAGAATGGCAATTTGAAGGATGATATTTGATGTTTGGGCCTCATAACACTTCCAAGCCCAAAAATTAGAGCTATTAGTTTAAATTATGTTTAATTTATGGAATTTTAGGTTAGGTTATTAGTTTTTAAAGGGTTCTTTGGTAGAAGTTAAAGATACAACTCTAATTATTTAAGAAGCTAGAAATTGAGGCTGAAGCTTAGAGAGCAAGGCTACAAATATTTGTTTTGTCCTTTTCCTTAGCTTTTATTTTTTTTATTTTTGCTATTCTTAATGGTTAAACTTCACATATTTTTATTTATCTTTGCAACTAGGAGTAACTAATTTTATTCTAGAATTGCTATTGAACTCACATGTAGTCTAAATTTTTAATCTATTTATTGCTTGTTTATTCTAATTTATTCTTAATACTTTTAATTACTTAGCTACCAATTAAATTGATCTAGAAACCTAAACATAACTCGGGAGAGGGAGTTTAGTGTAGGCTAATATTGAAATAGCATATGATCATATTAATTGATTTGTATATAAGCTAGGGATATACTTATATGCATATATAACTAGAATTAAAGCCAAAAATTAATGAGTCTATTTTAATTTCAATTCACATAGGTATTTAGTATTTTGGTTAAAATAAATATTTTTATAAGATGAGTTGGGAGTCTCTTATAAATAATTGAAGACTCTAAGTTAGCAATTCAACCCATGGAAATAAATTAAGAAAGAAAGGTAAGATTTAGATAAAGTGTAAAGGATATTGTAATCCTAAGCTTATTTCTATTGATTTTTATCATATTTTATTTCGGCTTTGATTTTTATTCTTATTAATTAGTTTTGTTAATTTTAGTATAAATAATTATTTGCTTTTTGACAATTTAGATAAAATTAAATTATGTTAATTTTAATACTTTTAAAACTTTTAAAACAATTCTCTATGGGATCAATACTCTATTTGCCATCATACTATCCTTGCAATATGTATACTTACGTGAGTAGAATTTTAACTAACAGAAGCACTCTAAAACTTATTGTAAAGGATTAGAGCTTGGTTTAGAAGCTCGCCTTGTAAAAGCTTGGTGGAAGCTGTTAATTCCACTAGTTTAGTGAAGTTGAATTGAAGATCCTTGATTGAAAGATCAAAGAAGTGGATGCAGGTCAAGGGGATCAAACTATTATAAATACTTATGTATTGTCCACTTCTTTCTACCTTTCTTTACTTGA